TGATTGACACTTCTGGATCAACGAGAAATACAAATATAGAAATTTCTTCCACAGTCATGCTAAGAAATATACATGCCAAGAAGAAGGACACAGCTATATTTATTTGTTGATAAAGTGCTGCATCCATATTTCCTCTAAAGCACCAGAGCTGGTATAGTGATTATTAATGCACATATCTGCTTTGCCATTGCAGTGCATTAAGAAAAAAATTCCGAGCAGTCTGTATTCCTAAAGCTAGCATCTACAACTTATTTTTAGTTGCTGCTCTTTAAAATTGCTGTGCTGCATATCTGAGATTTGAAGCTGCATAACTGACAAATATAAACTTAGAGTTGGCACCCCTAGTATTCACCTCTTTTGAGTTGTACACGGGGAATGCCAAAAACATATTTTGTACGCTTCAGCCAAAATTAAATCTGTGTCATTGTGTTAGATAATAAAATATTAAAAGTGGAATGACTTCATATATTCATTAAAATCACCTTGGGACCAGCTGTTATATATTTCATATATAAAACTCAATTGAATCTAAATATACAATTCTTACCACAGGGTTATTGAAGTTAAAATAGAACTTATACCATATGTTGCTAATAAATAAATGAATAAAATAAAATAATGAAATAGAGTATAAAAACTTTACCTTATTTTGTTTCAGCTAGTTGCCAAGGCAACGTTTATTATTTATATTTATTAACTTGATGTACTTAAAATAACTAAATATAAAATAGAAATGAATAAAAACTATGTAGAGATGTGAGGGGAAAAGCTAATAAAAAGAAAAGGTAACAAAAAAAATACTAAAGCTAAAGTAAAATGAAAATGAAAATGGAAAAATAAATATATAAAAAATAACAACTATAATAGTGTCTCAATGACTGGCACTGACTGAATATATACTGTATATTAAGCAGTATTTCTAAAATATGAAGCATTAGGACACAGGCTTTTAATCGGATGGAGCGGAAGGCAATGCTAACTGAACAGCAAAAATGATTACAAAATCAATGCAGAATACATTAGTTCCTGGTCTCTCCTCCACAGCTAATTCAGGGGTTAGCATCACATGAACCACAAATAGATTTATTGCTTTCAAACTGATCCCCATGCTGTTAGTCAGCAAATTCAGATGTTCCACAGCCAGCTGGGATCTAAAAATATGCTCGGGACACCTGGGAATATGCTGCTCATTCGTGGAAAAGATCATTTTAATAGGGGCATCGTTCTGTAACTTAGCACTGCTTACAATGAGATGCACAGCAGATCAAACGTCGCAAGCTACTAAAAAAACGAATCACATAATTACACTCTATATAACATACTGTATAAACACATGAAAGAGATAGTTCACCCCAAAATACAAATATCACGGTTTTGATATTTAATACCTATTAAAGTTAGGTATGCTATTCATCCTGCACAGTTTGTGGCACTGGCATAAATGATACCTGAAGTGTGCTTCTACTTTTATAAGTGATTTACTGTTTTTAAAATGGATGAAATCTCAGAGAGCCATGATTAGGGACCTTAATATAAGCAATCACTAAAAAAAGAAAAAGAAAAACTTAGAAACTAAACAGAGGACAGAGGAGCCTCTTAAAGAAGAAGTTACAGGTCTGTGAGAGCCAGAAATCTTGCTTGTTTGTAGGTGACCAAATACTTATTTTCCAGAGGAATTTACCAATTCATTCTTTAAAAATCCTACAATGTGATTTTCTGGATATTTTTTTCTCATTTTGTCTCTCATAGTTGAGGTATACCTATGATGAAAATTACAGGCCTCTCTCATCTTTTTAAGTGAGAGAACTTGCACAATTGGTGGCTGGCTAAATACTTTTTTGCCCCACTGTATATACAAGTTTGGGGTCAGTGAGATTTTTAAATGTTTTTGAAAAAAGTCTATTTTGCTCACCAAGGCAAAAAGAAAAAAAAGTAAAAACAGTAATATTCTGAAATATTATGACTTAAAATAGCTGTTTTCTATTTTGATATATTTTAAATTGTAATTTATTTCTGTGATGGCAACGCTGAATTTTCAGCATAATTACTCCAGGCTTCAGTGTCACATGATCCTTCAGAAATCATTCTAATATGCTGATTTTCTGCTCCAGAATCATTAAATATGTTGAAAACGTGTGCTGTTTGTTGTTGTGCATACTTAATATTTGTGGAAATCGTAATACATTTTTTCAGAAGGGCAGCATTTACTTAAAATAAAAACCGTTTGTAACATTATGAATTTCTTTAAAAAAAATTACCTTCTAATACTAGCGTTCTCTATTCTTTTTCTATTCTATTACTGAAATAAATGAACTTTTCCACGACATTCTAATTTATTAAGATGCACCTGTACTTGTTTTATTTTTATTTATTATAAAAAGTACCTTCTAATACTAGCGTTCTCTATTCTTTTTCTATTCTTTCGACTTGTTTTCTTTTTATTTATTATAAAAAATGGCTCTCTAATACTAGCGTTCTCTATTCTTTTTCTATTTGTTCGACTTGTTTTCTTTTTATTGATTATAAAAAATGACCTTCTAATACTAGCGTTCTCTATTCTTTTTCTATTCGTTCGACTTGTTTTCTTTTTATTTATTATATAAAAAAACTTGCTACGTTTACTGTGTTAGACTAAGCGAGACTTGTTGCAGCCCTTACATATTATTGCTCTTTTGTTGGTTTTATTTGCTTCTATTGTCCTCATTTATAAGTCGCTTTGGATAAAAGCGTCTGCTAAATGACTAAATGTAATGTAACGTAAATGTCTTTACTGTTGCTTTTAATACATTTAATGCGTCCTTTCTGAATAAAAGTATGCATTTCTTGACTACTTGAAGATTTGTATGTGCGAGAACTATGCAAGTTCCCGCACATACAAATAACAAATCCTGCCATTATCTGGGTCATTCATGGCTATTTTAAGAACTTTTTTCTTGCTGGCCAGGTTTTCGTAATGACACTTGTTAAGAGCAAATATTATGTTCTTACACTGAGATTGTAATGGCATGCCTTTGAAAACACTGAACAAACTCTTTAGTCACTATTTAAAGAACGGCCACAAGCTTTGTGTCTTTCTATAGAACGAAAAAAAGAAGGTGATAAACACCAACCAATCAAAATATCACACAGGCCTTGAGCTAGAATAGTGGTTGCAAACCCAAGCGGTTTTTCATAGTAGCCTACCTTGGTGCCACAACATTTTCTACAACAGGAATAATTTTTTATTTTTTTTTATCTCCAACACAGAGATACAATGTGCACACTAAATATTCCAGGCAACACATTAAAAGAATAAATACATTAACACCAGATATATGAAGTCAAAGCAAACAGGTTTCCAGAAGCAGCAACAACTTTTGAGCTTATACAGCTGCCTTAAGGAGTTTAGTTTAAATAGTTGTATTATTAGAAGGTCTTCTTTCTGGCCCTAGAAGAGGAGAATCATCAGGGCTGGACTGGTGCTAAAATTCAGCCCATCTGGCCCATACAGTCCCCCATAAATGTTTTGCTGGAGTTAGGGCAATTGGAAAAATTTATTTATTAATAAATAATGGACAAAAACAAATTATAGTTTTGAGTACTTAAAATGCATTTAACAATATTAAAGCAGCACTATGTAACTTTTTCTGTGTTCAAAATTAGCAAAATGTGTATAATGAGTACATCATGATTTAATCTTCCAAACCGCGTTTTTGTCTTATTCCGAATCGCTACGGTACACTTATAATAAGTACTTCTATTTGGACTATTGTAGCCTGGTCGGGTCGTCGCCTCTGCGGAGGAACACATACCTGCGTGAATTGCCATAGACATAAACTTAGAGAAGTAGCTCCAGTTGGAATGTTCTTCCGCGGGATGTATGCAGTTCTGTTTATTAACCGCTAGAGCGCCAAAAGTTGCATAGTGCTGCTTTAATATTCGATTATATCGGAAGCTCTTAATTATTGAATTCATATTTTTCTGCAGTTAAAGTTTATTAGAACTATTAAATTGTCCTTTGTAGTTGCCCTAATGAAAAGCTAATTCTTGAATCCAGAGTTAACTATTAGTAAACCTTTATAAAAAATTGCCTTTATTTGAACCAATATTTAATAGGCTATAAGTATCCTATTACAATTTTTGTGACATTAATAATAAATATAATTAACCGATTATCTACAGTGTCAGTAAATGCATGTTAAATAGCCTAGGTGTGGTGCTGTGGATTAAATTGCTTATTTACAGTTTTGTACAGTTTACCTCTACACTTCAGTTTACATATGGTTGGTGCTGTTCAATCTGGTTTCCGCTAGCTTCACCACAGAGACTTTACTGTTCAAATATAGCCTAAGTGTCGTGTGTGGAATAATGGGCAAGCGCTGCTTATTGTCACTTCAATAGAGCGGCGAGCTGCAGTCGTTGTCAGCGCTGTGCCGGCGGTAGAAACCGGTCCGGTGTGGTCCAGCTGGTCTCTTGCGCTGCACGGTTTAATCAGATAACTTAGTGCTGTTTCATCACTTGGCTATTAGTGTTTGTTTCCCATGTGCTACAGTAAAGCCGAGGCGATTAAAAGATACCCACAACTACAAGTAGCATACAAAGACATTTTAATCGCTCATATCTTTTGGACTGAAATAGCGCAGACACTAATATGTGGGGGTGTGGTGGGATTTCGGCAATCGGCAAACTGGGAAAAGCTCCGGTGCTCCCGATGGCCAATCAATTCTAGGTCTAATTTTCCTTTCCTCCACAGCCAATCACCTCAATCTGCGGGCCCTGGGGCTTCAGCCCCGCCTAGCCCTTATGTTAATCCGGCCCTGTTTTAAAAAAGACTGTTTTTCTGTTTATAAATATGATACATTAATGGTTCAGTGAACACCAGTTTTATATGGTCTTGTGATGCTAGCAGCTGAACAAATCAGGATTTCACTGAGCTTGAGTAATTGGGCGATGTGTGCGATCATAACAAGAAACTATCCCTGGTGACAAGCATGTCTAATCCTTCACCCGTATAAAATCAGATGGGAAAGCTCTGCAGTTCATTCAGGCGGAGAAGATGTTCTACGAAGTGGCATTGATCGAGCTCACCTCGCTGCAGGCCAGCACAGGCAGGTCCACTTTTTATGGATTTACTTAAATGCTTATTTTATGGCACTGTTGAGTGGACATGTGACTCTTTGGTCAGCATGTATCATACTATATTAGACATTTTCATCATCGCTATGTACAATAATGTATTTAGGCAATATCACACAAACAAGGCATTCAGAACAGCAGCTTGATTCAGAGAGTGTGTTTTATACATCTACTTTAGACAGTGTCCAAACAAATCCAAACAAATCCAAAGCTAAATCAACTACACTGAACAAATTTTTCATGGGGGCAAAAAGATCTAAGACTTTTTCTATGTACATAAAAGGCCTATTTCTCTCAAATATTGTTCACAAAGCTGTCTAAATCTGTGTTAGTGAGCACTTCTCCTTTGCAGAGATAATCCATCCACCTCACAGGTGTGGCATATCAAGATGCTGATTAGACAGCATGATTATTGCACAGGTGTGCCTTAGGCTGGCCACAATAAAAGGCCACTCTAAAATGTGCAGTTTTATCACACAGCACAATGCCACAGATGTCGCAAGTTTTGAGGGAGCGTGCAATTGGCATGCTGACTGCAGGAATGTCCACCAGAGCTGTTGCCGGTGAATTGAATGTTCATTTCTCTACAATAAGCCGTCTCCAAAGGCGTTTCAGAGAATTTGGCAGTACATCCAACCGGCCTCACAACCGCAGACCACGTGTAACCACACCAGCCCAGGACCTCCACATCCAGCATCTTCACCTCCAAGATCGTCTGAGACCAACCGCCCGGACAGCTGCTACAACAATCGGTTTGCATAACCAAAGAATTACTGCACAAACTGTCAGAAACCATCTCAGGGAAGCTCAACTGCATGCTCGTCATCCTCATCGGGGTCTCGACCTGACTGCAGGTCGTCGTCGTAACCGACTTAAGTGGGCAAATGCTCACATTCGATGGCATCTGGCACATCTGGAGAGGTGTTCTCTTCATGGATGAAT